CACAAGCAGAGGTTTGATGTGACATCTAAAGGTGAACCAACTGTGGTGCAAAGCTGAGCCCACATTCCTGCCATATGAAAACAAGTGCCTTAAAACACAGTGTGTGTGCAAACCACTTCTACCACAGTTTAGATGGCTAATGTTAAGCCAGAATTATACTGTTCTTCAGTAACACATGTTGAATAATTTGTCCGTGAAAGTGTTCCCATCTCTAATGTGAACCTAGCCCTTGTTTAAAAATAATCTGAATATATTTGCAGCACTTAAAAATAAAATGGTTGGATCCAAAGAACCATGAGCAGAAGAAATATAGCAAGTTGCATTATTTGGAAAGTCATGAGGCAGTTTCCATGCAGGAGTATAACAAGTACGATAGCCATTCTTACGCTCGTGTCTGGCCAAAATGTTGCATGAGTGGAGAAAGCTTATTTGGATTTTATTGTGCTTTTCAGTTTTCTAATGCGTAGTATAAAATCATCTTTCTGTATCTTGATGTAGAAGAGCTTTGGATCCAGCTTAACCCAAACAATTCTACCTTTCAAAAAATGTTTTTGGTTTTATTCTGGCAAGCGGGGAGGTTTGTTACCTAAAGAGGGGTAACCACAGCTTGTATGCCTGCTTAAGGCTGCTTTCAGGAATTGATTATAATCAACGTTAAACTGATGTCCATGAACCCAATCCATTGTTGAATGTGTGCATGTGCCTCCCTTCTTCCTATCTCATGCATATTATGAAAAACTGTGGTTTCCATAGGGGGACAGGCTTTCCATTTTCCCCTATGCCTTTCTCCTCATATCTCCTAAATGAAAATTGCTAGAGACTTTTAAAATGAAAGCTGGGAATTCAGGGGACCTCTTGGCACATATTCTTACGGTGCTATATTGATACAATAGTCAACTGTTGATTTTTTAAAAATAGCCCCCTGGGGGCAGGGGAGGGAAATGACCACTGCAGGGACAGCATCAGGGAAAATGACTGCTATGTAGGTGGGAAAATCTGAATTTTTCACACCCATTTGACAGCCATCCAGGCTTCCCCAAAATTTTGCAGCAAAGCAGGCTTGGGAAAAGATCAGAGAAAAGCTGCATAAAGTCAAGGAGGGGCATGAGTATACCACAAGTTGAAGGTAAATAAATAAACAATGCTGTGGGGAAGCCCGATAAAAACTAACTTTCGGAAGCATGGAATCCGGGAGAAAGAACCCATGTGGAAATGTCAGGATACCGATTAGTAAGTAACTGTAGCTATCCATGACATGCAGATCTATTTTTTGCAGATTAACCGGAGTTAAGGCTCTCCTGCTTCCTCAACCCCTCAAATTCTAACAAGAGTTTAATGTGGGCTTCCAATCCTGCGTGCGTATGTC